TAAATTGACTTTGAGGAAGTGGTGTGACATCCAGACTGATATGTCAGTCAGTAAATTAGTGATGCGTGAGGAGACTGATGTTTGTAAGTTGAGGGGTAGAGAGACAGATTTGGATGTCGTCAGCGTAGAAATGATATTGAAAGACATGGAAGGCTATCAGTTGACCCAGGGAAGAATTGAGAATAGGAGAGGTCCAAGAACAGAACCTTGGGGGACCCTGACAGAGAAAGGAAGAGAAAAGGAGGAAGTAGAATTGTAAGTGACACTGAAGGTGCAGTGAGATAGGTAGGATGAGAACCAACTAAGAGTATAGTCACGGAGACTAAAGGAGTAACGTTTTTTGAGGAGGGGGGTGGTCAACTGTATCAAAAGCAGCCAAAAGGTTCAGAAGTAGGAGTACAGAATAGTGTCCATTGGTTTTTGCTTTAAGAACATAGCCACTTGCTTTCTTCTTTTTAAAAGCTTTTCTTGCCCTTTTTTTTTTATTTTTTTATAAGAAAGTTTGTTAATCAAAATGTGAGTTTCCCTTACATGGGTATTAAGCATTGCTCTTCCATCAAAAAAACAAATGACATTCAGGCTCTTGGCTTACACATTCATCACTGTTTCTCTGGCCTTACTCTTTAGACCCTTGTCTGTTTCTTACAGGCAGTCTTCACACTTAGGTCTGTACACTTAGCAAGGTTCTTGCTCCCACCTGTTTCTCCTAGGTGGAGCCCTCCTGACTCCTTGGCAAAGACCTCTTTTGTCTGCTGGGGTGGAGCCCAGAACCCTAGTCAGGTCTCTCCTAAAAGCCCAGAACACACCTGCCCAATAAGTGTGCTAGTGGTTCCCAAAACATGGACCCAAGATTGGAGATTTCGTCGCCCCCAGATCTATATGAAAATCTCTGGGCTCTAAGTCCCAAACCAGGTTTTAACAACCATTGAGAAAACTGAAATGTCAGTTCCCTCTAAAGGACACAAGTTCTCTGAAGCAGATTTATATCACATGGTCTGTAAATATTGTAGTGTTTACTTGGATTCTGCTAGAGTTTTCTTCCCATATTAAGTTCTTCTGAATGCAGTTTTATAGCTTTAATAGAAAACCTATTGGCCGATGGACATGGACAATGTAACACGTATATGTGTGACTCTCCATGAATAGTTGCTGCTTGTTGAGTGTCTGTGCATGCATGCATGTTTGCTGATGGTGTTAGCTTTTGGATCAAATAGACTATTGAAAGCACAGCTCTTCTCAGTGTCTTTACTGAGTGGTCTTCAGGTGTACTCTTTGTTCTTACATGATGATGCTTGTTGTGATGGACCCAGCTATTGTTCCCAACCTGCCTTTGAACACCTTTCTGCTTATATCACTGACCTTCGGATCTTGTTTTGCTGGCTTAACTTTTTGACCCTTCGTTTATCTGCTGACTTTGTGTTTTGTTGCCTGCCAGATACCAACCTTGGCCTGTCTCATGATTTTATTTTGCCTGTTGCAAAAGTTATTCGCAGTCCATAGTTATTGACTTCTGTTACCTGCTGTATTGTGCTCCTTGATTCTAGTCCTTTACAGGCTACCTAATATATTCTCGTCCTGTAGCTCCATGATTGATTCCAGCACTAATGTTCCTGAGCTTCTATCCATTGACTATCTCCTATGAACAACAGTCAGGCACTTGTGTCCCTCCATTTCAGAAAAGATGGAGAAGCAAGAGAGCATGTCCTTGTCACCAAAGTCTTCCATAAGGCACATGACAAAAGCTGTCCCTTATTTGACAGTATTGTTCCTCTTTTGGAACCATATCCTTCTACCCCCTTTAATGCTTTAAATGTGCTTCTCTGATAAACAGACATAGGTATTTTTGAACACCCAGCATCATGAATCCCCACAGTGGGTGGGGTTGACAAATCCAGGTATGAATAATACACATGCAGGCTTCCGAGTGTCTCATAACAGGAAGTAACTTGAACATCTACAGGTCAGAGGTATTAACCTAGGGGGGTACTACTGGGGAATCAATGGTGGAGAAGGATCTGGGGGTTCTGGTAGATCACAAGCTTAATAATGGCATGCAATGCGAAGCTGCGGTTTCTAAAGCGACCAAAATCCTCTCTTGTATTAAAAGAGGTATAGACTCCTGAGAGAGAGATATCATTTTCCCTCAGTACAAATCATTAGTAATACCTCATCTGGAATATGCAGTTCAGTTTTGAGCACCAATTCACAAAAAGTACATTGGGGAACTGGAGAAAGTACAGAGAAGGGCAACCAAACTGATAAGAGGCATGGAGGAGCTCAGCTATGAGGAAAGATTAGAGGAACTGAATTTATTCTCTCTTGAGAAGAGGAGATTAAGGGGGATATGATCTCCATGTATAAATACATCAGTGGTTCATATAGTGAACTCGGTGTAGAGCTATTCACCCTGAGGTCACCACAGAGGACAAGAGGGCACTCTTTACGTCTGGAGGAAAAGAAATGTAATCTCCAAACACAGAAAGGTTTCTTCACAGTGAGAGCTGTGAAAATGTGGAATAGACTTCCTCAAGAGTTGGTTCTGGTCAGCTTAGTGGATTGCTTTAAAAAAGGCCTGAATTATTTCTTAGATACACAGAATATAACTGGATACTAACATTTATAGGTAAAGTTGATCCAGGGAATATCCGATTGCCTCTCGGGGGATCAGGAAGGAATTTTTTCCCTGTAGGAGCAAATTGGACCATGCTTTGCTGGGTTTTTTGCCTTCCTCTGGATCAACTGGGGGTGTAGGATTATAACTTTTTTTTTTTTTTTTAATGGTTGAACTGGATGGACTTTTTTCTTTTTTCAGTCACACTATGTAACTATGAAGACCAAACACATGATCAAAGGATATTGCAATTCCCACTAATACATGTTCTTCACAATTGCAGCCATTTATACTGTACTCCAGATACTTGTATTGTGAGGATCAAGCAAATGGGCCTTTGAAAGCTTGTCCTGAAAAATAAATTGTTAGTGCAAATATAAAAAAGTATCACATAAAATACTGATTGAGAATTATCAAACTTCAGTAAGGCTAGGTTCACACCTATGCAGGTTGCATTTGAGCCATTTCTGTATTGCGTTTTTCATGCTGTTTTGCGTTTTTGCACCTGCTTTTTTGCCATGTTTTTGATGTGTTTTGCAGGTTTTTTTTTTAATTTTTTACATTTTCTTTTGTTGCTTGGCAGATTTAAAAAATGCGGCAAAAACGCAATACATGCTTTTCTGTCGCATTTCCATTGAAGTCTATAGAACCAAAAACACAACTTTTTGCGTTCAAAAAAGGCCCTGACCCTTTCCAAAAAATGCACCAGGTGAAAACGCACAGATATGAACATTTCCCATAGGAAATCATGTTAAATGGACTTGTTTGCATTTTTGCAAAATGCTGCGGAAAATGCTCAGGTGTGAACCTAGGCTAAGACAGATAGCAGGAATCAGGATGGAGCTAGAATGTACTCTACATATACATTTTTAATTTGCAGGTTTTCAGGATATCTTTGTTGGCTGTGTATGTGTTTATTTATTAAACTCGGAAGTAGTTGGAAAATTCCAAATTCACACTAAAAATCTGCAAGCATAAGCTGTTTGTAGCTTTATCACAGTGCTGTCCACCCACTGCCATTCTGAATTGGCTAAGCAAAACTCCATTTTCTTAGAGAAGCAATTTACATAGCCAAAGGCATGCCACACCCTTTTTTGTATCTCAGTGCTGGTGATATCCTGCAGCTTCTTTGCAGTCACTTCCTTTCTACATGCATGCATTTCAATCATCGCTGTATGACATTGATGGTGACAACCATGGACCATGTCTGTATAATCCATGTTGAAATAGCTAGTTGTAGCCTGTGTGGCAGGGGGGACAAGACAGGAGCCCAATTGGCAGTCAGGGGCAGAGCGTTGTCACCCTATAATAGGAAATGTCTTAATAGGTCCGTCATAGCAGGATCACCAAGTATTATTTGAATGAAATCTGCTGATTTAAAATATTGAAAATTACTTGTGAAATTAGATTAATGTTAAAGCTGAACTCCAGCCTTAGGATCAGTCTTGCACAATTGTACCGGCTCCTCTTCTGCCCTGAAATTGCTCTGATATCACTGCACACAATTAGAGTCTTGGTGCAGCAGGTCAGATAGAGGGTGGCAGCAAGTCCCCTTCATTTCCTGCCTATAAGGCAGCCTGCATCATTTTAGCCCTATTCTCCCTAGCCTTGCTGTCCCTGGCTCACCCCTTTCATTCATTGAATTTTAGTTCTCTTAATCGTGGAGGCCTAGCATCACCACAACTTCATGTTTTAACCACTTCAAGACTGGACACTTTCACCCCCTTCCAGTCCAGGCCAATTTTCAGCTTTCGGTGCTATCACACTTTGAATGACAATTGCGCGGTCATACAACACTATACTCATTAGCATTATTTTGAGACAGATAAAACTTTCTTTTGGTGGTATTTATTCACCACTGGGATTTTTATTGCTTTGCTATATAAATGAAAAAGTCCAAAACTTTTTAAAAAAATTTTTTTCTTATAAAAGTTTGTGAATAAATGATCTTTCTTCATAAATCTTGACCAAAATGTATTCATCTATCTTTTTAGTAAAAAAAAAATAATCCAAATTAGTTTATAACCAAAAATTATAATTTTTTAAAACATTTTTTTAAATTTTTTTTTTTTTTTTTTATATTATTATTTATGTTTTTTGTTTTTTTGAACATACTATCACCCTAGCACCATAGTGACACTGTAATACTTATGGGGGGGGGGGGGGGGGTGATGATTGTTTTTCTTTTTTTACATTGATTGCTTTTACACCCATAAAGACTGTAAAAGCAATAATTTCTCCTTCTCTCTGGCTGCATTCCTGCAGTCATTGAGAATTGCTGTGAGAGCTGTGATTGGTCACAGCTTGTCACATGGTGCAAGGCTGTTGTGAATAGCCTTGTACCATGTGACCTCTGCGATTATTCACAAGTAGTAAGCAATGATGTCAGTCAGGAAGTGACAACTTGTGTACTACTATTTATATGATCACTGATTGGCCAATCAGTGATCACATGAATTGGGACCTCACACAGAGGTCCCATACAGCGATCTGTGTTCTGCTGTGTCTGGAGGACACAGCGGGCACCAATCGCGGTGCTGCGCACTCCCAGGCATCACGTACAGGTAATGGGTGTGGAGGGACATTTAGAAATGTCCACCCGCATCGGCAGCGCTCCCGTCCGACCGTTTATCGACATATGCCAGACGGGAAGAGGTTAAGGAAGCTATTACAGCACTCTATCTTTTGATGACAGAACGCGTTGTGTGGAGCCTCTTGCTGACGTCATCACGTTTTACCACATTGTAGGAAGTGTTTTTGGATGCCGGTCTGGTACATCTGTTTACATGTGCATGTATTTTTATATCAAGTGAGTACAATTCTTTAATTATAATAAAGTTTTTAAGAGATTTTACACTATGGAGAAGCTTTCTCTTTTCTGCCTTGCACAATGGATATGGTGATAATTGGTTAACATATGTATGAGTGACGGAGTTCCTGGGTTCCATTGAGCCAGTTACTGGAGGGGAGTCAAACACCCTGAGAGATCATACAAGTGCTTTAAGACCACTCTTAGTTTAAGCGGGTCAAGGAGAGTTGGTAAGAGACCATCTGTATATCACCTTGGGTGTCGGTGGCACTTTGGATACAAGCATCGGAGAAGAAGTGTGGTTTCATAATCCTGCACACCTTGGATGGGACATTTTTTTTTTTTTACTTTTTCTATTTTGATTTATTAGTTTTTTTTCACAATCTGAGCGCAACACAGTTTATCATTATTTGTATACACTAGGTGGGATATTTTTCTAGTTTGTGTTTGCTGCTATTAGTAGATGGTTTATTTATGAACACTAGTGCGTGGTTTCTTTTATATTTATGTACAGCACCCTGTCAGCTCTTCCAAAGACCTGCCTGCATTGCATAGTGAAGCACGGAGACCTAGTGATGATGTCACTAGGCCTAAAATAAGGTAGATAATAAAAATTTTAAGATGTATTTAATCATTTCAACAGCATGCTGACGAGGGAAAAAAGGAAGAACCAGGGAAGGTAAAATACAGTATAAACAGATTAAATGTTAGCTTTAAAGCTTATACTGTATGTTATTTTAGTGTTTGGGTTTACATCTGCATTACAACCCACCTAAAAACTAATATATGTCTAGTTCTGCCAACATAATACAGTGTTTTCATTGTCTTAGAAATGATTTATGTCCTCATAAAATACTAATAAACATACATTGGTTTTATATGTAAAGTCTAAGAGTTGCTTGGTAAAGATACTTTCCTGTTTATGAAAAACGTTGTTATATTTGCTATGTATAGTATGTGTGCATTGAGCTGATCAAATTAATTTTCTAAGTTTACTGACTTGCTGCCTTTTTTTCCAAAGTCTGCTAATCTGGTTATTAATGTAGTCTGATTTTCTTCTGAACAAACAGGACCGATGTGCTGTATCTTTACAGGATTCATTTGGCAGTTCTTAGAAATTAACCCTTTCGGTACCTTTTAAAGAAACTAGTTCTGCTAACCTTGAGGTAACACTGCAGTCAAAGTACTGTAACAGTCTTGCAAGGTCTTTAGACATGTGCAGTTCGTTTCCTTCTGAATCGAAATTCGGATACATTTTCCATTATTCAGAAATTCTGATGTATCCGAAATCGGAATTTCAATAGTAACGAATTTAAACGAATCTGAATTAACAAAACAAAATTCGGATGAAATTCAAATCGATTTGAATGCGAAAACACATATAAAAACAAATTTGAAATCTATTTGAATTTGAAAACAAGAATAGAATAAAATAGAACAGAAAATAAAGAAATAGAAAAATATTATTATTATTTATTATACAGGATTTATATAGCGCCAACAGTTTGCTCAGCGCTTTACATTATAACGAGAGACAATACAGCAACAATACAGTTCAATTACAAGAGGGATAGGAGGGCCCTGCCTTGGAGCTTACAATCTAGGAGGGAGGGCGCGAGTTAAAAAAGGTAATAACTGTGGGGGATGGACTGGTAACGAGGAGACAATATTCCAATATTAGCTGAGGGCAAGATAGGCTTCCCTGAAGAGAAAGGTTTTCAATCGCATAAAAAATGAGGGAAAGGAGGGCCCTGTCCTTACCTGAGATTACAATACTAGGACTGACTAGAGGGAATTAAAAATAAAACATGAAATAACATACACGTAAATTCAGGCTTATGTCATTGTATTATACTGTATGGGGGTTTCTCATGTTCTAGACTGTAAAGTGGGAATTCTTGGCATTATAATCATGGATCCCTATACTCTACCTATCACATTACAACTTAGCAGTGAGCCATAGGCATCTCTGCTTCATTCATTCTGTAGATCTCTGCTGTGTAAACCTCTCCTGATACCTTATGGTCATTATTCTACCAGTTATCAGATGTCTAGTCATTTGGGAACAGCTCTGATATGAGGAAGCAAAGCCCTGCTCATCTACCAGGATGGCCACCTCCAAACAGACACAGTACAGAACTAAACGTGGAAAGTCAGAAAGGAAAAAAAACAGCTGTAGAAATCTGAGGGGTAACCACTGGTAAGTGCACGTACGGAGCCCATGGTAAGTGCTCAGAGAGGCCCTGTTCTGCTACCAGGAGAGGTAGTGTAAAATGCTGGACAGGTGGATGTGGACAGGGCTAAGCGTGTCCCTCCTAATTGCCAGTCAACAGTGAAGGTGTACATTGCCACGAGAACCCAAAAGTCAACTGGAGGACAGGTATGGTGCAAGAGTACTTGGTGTACGTTCATCTTTAAAAGTGGAGGCCCACCTTAAGGTTGAGTATTCCCCCACGGGAAGGCCTCAGCCTTGTCCCAGGGCATTGATGAAGACGGCATGAGTAAAGGTACCCCCAGGGGCGGACTGACCATTTGGAAACTCGGGCACTGCCCGAGGGCCCGGGGTCAGTAGGGCCCCATGAGATGCCCCTGGTACCTTTTACAGAGGTTTTTTTGAGTTTGGGCAAGGACACAGGGGCCCTATGATCCCCTATTGCCTGGGGGCCCCATGAGTTGTCAGTCCGCACCTGGGTACCCCATATGTGAGGCAATGACCCTGTTATAGGTGCATACCCCAGAAGAACTCACCCCAGGGTAGCCTTCTCATGTGACCCAGACTTGGCACCAAACGAGTTAATGGGAAACATGGAAGAAGCTCCGCTATTTTCTACCTCTTTCCCTTCCACTGCCTACACATTTATAATAGATTTTTTTAGCATTTCCACCAGGATCCCTGTCTACTTTGGACATGCACGTGTCCACCTAAAACAGAGGGATTATTGTAGGTGGAATACATTTTTGAAAGCAACTATTAATGCCTGTTATTTTTTTTTTCTAATTTTTTTTGTAGTAAAAAATAATATGATTCATTTTAGCTGTAGCTGCGTGTCATGATTGTTTTCCCAGAAGATGATAAACAGATTTTAGTTTGCTGTCATATACAATTACTTGAAATTATCAATGACTCTTAATTCTGTCCTTTCCTCTTTCCGTTGGCTTTCTATCCCAACGTTGCTAGCATAATATTTATTTATTAACTTATTTGTTATTTGGCATACCGTATTCCCACAAAAGATTATACTATAAGAAATTTTACTGTATAGAGTAAATGATAATCTACCAACATACAGACTTCTGTTTTTAGTGATGTGTGAATCTTCAGAGAATCTTACAATTCAAGAATCATGATCACCTGGATTCAATACACACAGTATAGAGCTGGAAACTGATGGTCGTTACCAACACACTCCATGATAGATGAAACAAAAAGCATGGGTGATAGAAAGAAACGTTCTGATGAAAGTACTGCAATTTACTCAATGCAGTCAAGATAACTAATAAGCTCTGAACTGTTACAGACCTTAAACCAGAAACCTGGAAGGATGTCATTTGGCAACAGTTAAGGAGCTGAACGAGAAAAGGTGACCTACTCAGTAAAACAAGTCCCTTTCAACTTTGAAGAATTTAGGCAACTGCATCATTTATTCCTTCTATGTACTTATTTCTGGGGATAGAGCTATCATCTCAAAAGGATATGGACATAAAATGCTGAAAAGGGCCTGTTAAGGAGTTCAGTGTTTCAAAACAAGAATGAGAATGGCTTGATTCTTGGAAAGCGTAAACTCTGTGTAACGTCTGTCAAGAAAACAGAACAGTCAACCAAAAAAACAGGCTTTGCTATCCCACAACATACCTGAGATACCATTGCATAAGCAGTGTTTGAAAGTTCAGGGAAAAAAATCCAGTTAGGTGTAGATTTTTTTTTTAAATCTAAACATGTATAAATATTTGAAATACCAATAAATGTTTTACACCATCACTGCCAAGCACAAGTTTGTATTTATAAGGGAGATTGTTTCAGATAAAATTCTTGACAAAGATGATATATGTCTTTTCTTCTGCTGTAGAATTCAGCGTACTTACTCTACCCCCAGTCCAAGGAAAAGGAGGGAGGATTTCAAAAGTCATAGGTGTTGATCCACACACACTGCTTCTTTACGTATGCAATGTACCAATTTTACCTGCATACACTATATTGCCAAAAGTATTGGTCCAGCCCTCCAAATCATTAAATTCAGGTGTTCCAATCACCTCCATGGCTACAGGTGTATAAAATCAAGCACCTAGGCATGCAGAATGCTTCTACAAACATTTGAAAGATGAAAGAATGGGTCACTCTCAGGAGCTCATTGAATTCAAGCGTGGTACCAGGATCAGAGCTGGTGCTTCCACTAGGCAAACTAGGCGGCCGCCTAGGGAGCACTGCCACCTAGGGGCACCTAGGAGCAGCACAGACTGGCATTCTCTCTGTTTGGGACGCCGCCACATCATGAATGATCCTCTAGCTGAGGGGAAGGGTGGCAGTGGGGAGGAAGAAAGGACAGAAGAAGATCCCGGTGTCTGGGGCCAGTGTAGCAGATGAGCTGCTGCTCATTCCAGTGTTCCTCTCAGAGTCAGTCCCTTACTGCAAGCCAGCTGGTGGCTGCTGATCACTGTGGAGTTCCAGCCTTTCTCTTTCCAATCATCAGCAGAAGCAGAGCTGAGCCTGCGAAGAAAGGTAATGTCTGACTCTGATGTCTTCTGTCTGTGTGACCCGGCTGACTGGCCATCCATCACATGTGCAATGTGTCATTGAGTGATGATATCATTACGCAAGTGTACAATCCAAACACACACGTTCATGTGTTAAAAATGGCTGTGTGTATAAGTTGGTGCTGCAGAGACCTTTGGCTGGAACAGAATCAGCAAGGGAGAATGTCACCAGCACACCAAGGATCACTAATATGGGTCCAAAAGTTTTAATGAACGATCACATAGTTACAGCAAGGCACCATTTTGGAGTCTCACAGGACCCCTTCATCAGGCATGTGACAAAGTCTTTAATATGGGTGCTGGTGGCATCTTTTTGGCAAAATAAAAGAAATTTAGCAGCTTCACGTTTCGTTGATTTAATATTTCCTACTGTTTTTAAATGTATTTGTTTATTTTATTTTTGGGGGGGTGCAAGTAGCTGATCTTGCCTAGGGCGCAAAATAGTCCAGCACCAGCCCGGACCATGATAGGTTGCCATCTGTGCAATAAGTCCATCCGTGAAGTCTCCTTGCTACTAGACATTCCACGGTCAACTGTTGTATTATAACAAAGTGGATGCAACTGGGAATAACAGCAACTCAGCCACCAAGTGGTAGGCCACGTAAAATAACAGAACAGGAGATAATAGAGAGCTTCATGGAATGGGTCTCCATGGCTGAGCAGCTGCATCCAAGCCTTACATCACCAAGTGCAATGCAAAGGATCATATGCAGTAGTGTAAAGCAAGCTGCCACTAGATTTTAGAGCAGTGGAGATGTGTTCTCTGGACTGATGAATCACGCTTCTCTGTCTGGCAATCCGATTTACATGTCTGGGTTTGGTGGTTTCCAGGAGAACAGTGTCTTTCCTGACTGCATTGTGCCAAGTGTAAAGTTTGATGAAGGGGGGATTATGGTGTGGGGTCATTTTTCAGGGGTTAGGCTTGGCCCCTTAGTTTCAGTGAAGGGAACTCAAGGCATCAGCATACCAAGACATTTTGGACAATTTCATGCTCCCCACTTTGTGGGAACAGTTTGGGGATAGCCTGTTGCAACAGGTCCTGACCTCAACCCGATAGAACACCTTTGGGATGAATTAGAGCGGAGATTGCAAGTCAGGCCTTCTCGTCTGACATCAGTGCCTGACCTCACAAATGCGCTTCTAGAAGAATGGTCAAACATTCCCATAGACACTCCTAAACCTTGTGGGAAGCTTTCCCAGAAGCGTTGAAGCTGTTATAGCTGCAAGGAGTGGTCCAGCTCAATATTGAACCCTACGGACTAAGACTGGGATGCCATTAAAGTTCATGTGTGTTTAAAGGCAGGTGTCCCAATACTTTTGGCAATATAGCATATGTTAGACCCCCTTGTGGGTGGGGCCTAACCAGTGTGACTGGAAATTGGGAGGAGTCATTTGACATAGTTAAATGTTGGTTATATAATAGAATTAGAGTGATCACAGATTTGAAACAGTTTACAGCAATGGAACTACATATGTTGAAGGTTGTGCACATCTCCAGGCAGAAAAGGTAATGTTTGTCAGCAGGGCTGACATAAAATTATATAAAATGAGCCTACAGACCACAAAATGCCTAGGGAGCACTTCCCCTAAAAAAGATAAAAGATTACTAGGTCATCCTGCATTTCCCAAAATTTTTTAAGGTATCTGGCTGCTTAGGGGCAACAGGCCTACTGTGTGTGCAAGAGCATAAATTAAGCCCCACTGCTTGATAAAAATAAAACATTCGGTCTGCTTAGTGCACCACAGTGAAGACTGAGCATGGTTTTTATTGTGCCAGGGGCATTGCTAGAAAATGAAAGACCTCGGGTACCTTTGGGCACAGCAAGTAGAAACGTAATGCAGCACATCTAGCATGCTGTAGCGAACAGTGGGTGTAAACACATTAAAGTGTTACTAAACCCACAACAATAAAATCAGTCTGTATGCAGTAAAGCTGGTTGTTATACTTGCTGTGGAACCTAAGGGGTTAATCATCTGCATTGTGTAACAAAAGCTGTTTGATCCTTCCTTCTCTGATCCTTCTCTTCTTCTACTGTCCCCAATCCATCTGTGACTCTGGAAATGCTCAGTTTAGTGTGTATTGCTAGAGAGTTATTTTTTTTCTTTAGGAGGGTGCATGTGATCAACACAGGGCCATCCAGCACTGTCCAGACATAGGGTCAGGAGTTATGCAGCCTCATAGGACAGTCAGAGCAGAATGAAAACTCCTCGTACAGGATTAATAGAAGTCACAAGACTGCTGTATACTGCTTATAAGAAAAAGTATTTAGCAGTTTATACTTATTACAATAACTCCACTTCCATGTTGTGTGTGCTGTGGGAAACCAGATATAGTCAATGCAAGGTCATGGGTTTAGTAACACTTTAAGTTAATGGGTCGAGGAGCTTAAGGGGTATGGGTAAATAAAACAAGGTCAGTCTGTCCCCTAGTACAATCTCCCCAAGTCAGTCTGCCCCCAGTATACTCCCCCCCCCAGGTCATGCTGTCCCAGTATAATCCTTCCTCCCCTCCAGGTAAGTCTATCCCTAGTATACTCCCCCCAGGTCAGTCTGTGCCCCAGTACATTCACCCCCAGGTCAGTCTATCACTCGGTATAATACTACCCCTCCCCCAGGTCAATCTGGTCCCCCCTGTATCATCCTTCCCCCCCAGGTCAACCTGTCCACAGTATAATCCCCCCAGGTCAGTCTGTCCCCCAGTACAATTCCCCCAGGTCAATCTGTCCCCAAGTATAATCCTCCCCCCTCTTCCCAGGTCAATCTCAAAGTACAATCCTTCCCTCCTAAGGTCAATCTGTCCCCCAGTATAATTCCTCACCCTCAGGTCAGTCTGTCCCCATTATAATCCTGCACTCCCAAATCCAATCTGTCCCTCAGTATAATCTGCCCAGGTCAGTATGTCCAGTACAAGACCCCACCAGTTCAATCTGTCCCCCAGTACAATCCCCCCAGGTGAGTCTGTCCCATAATACAATCCCCCCAGGTCAGTCAGACTGACCTGGGGGGATTGTACTGGGGAACAGACTGACCCCCAGTACAATCCCTGCAATACTTGATTTTTTAGGCCCCATAATAGTTGCCTAAATGTTTATCAGATCACTGTTTTCACTAAAAATACACTAAAGCCAGTTATTAGCACACATAGAAACAATTTAACTTACAAAGTCCTGTTAAATTCCTACTAAGGCCTTATTCACATGCAGCATACCAAAGTGTACGCCTGTGTGAGGGTCATGATTACATGCACGGGGATGCACAGGTGTTCTATTCCTGTCAATTGATCAATCTGACACCCATGTGGGTGGGAGTGCACAGCTCTGAACACGAACAGTGTGAATTCAGAGACATGCACCCATAGATTAACAGATTTCAAAACGAGATCAACAGCTGTGTCCGTGCAGCTACTGCTTCCCAATTGACATCAATGGGACTTCCTGCACAGGGTTGCACAGAACAACTGTGCATCCCTGCACAGGTAAACACGGTTTCACACAGGTGTATGCTGCAGTACACCCCATGTGAACAAGGCCTTAATATGGTTTTTTTTTTTTACAATATTATTTTTGATGTTTTTTTAACTTATTTTGGTAAAACATCAGGGGTGTAAATGGACCCCGATGTCTCTTTTTCAAGAGTCCTCATTCCCTTTCTCTGCAACCTCAGCTACACTGCAGATGAATGTACAGAAAACTCTGTACAG